CTATGTTCTTTAATTCAAGTCTACTTACTGTATAGACTGCTGGGCTTTACTCTTAGTGGTTTGTTTTGTTTGCCTGTAAGTTTCTTAACTATCACAGTTCTAATGTTTTATAGTGCTGACTACAAAATAGACAAGATTAACTCTAGGATTCTATATAAACAGCCCAAGAGCCAGTCCCTCTAAATCTGATATTGCTCAAATTTAGCAAGAAGGGCTTATGACACTGACTCCAATCATTGTCACACCCTCTCCAACATTCTAACTGACCATCACCAGGAAAAGCTATCTCAGTACAATAGAACAAGATTGCAGATCGTTAAATGCCACTGCCTTCAGAAAAGAAGAAAATGCATTTAAAGATGGGAGTGGGGGAGGAAATTTGCAAACATCAAAAAATTACCTGCATGTCAACCCTACCAAAAGAAGTACAGCTGCAGAGGTTATGAAAGAGGCTTCTTATCCATCTAGCAGGTGTAACGGTTAGGTATCTCCTAACTTTGGTTTTCTTTTATATTTGGCTTCACAGTCTTTAGCAATATTTTTTCAGAATCAAGCATCTAGCTTCCCTTTGCTTATGTTTCAGCTACCTTTGATGGAATCTATGCACCAATTCACTGTTAGAGAACCTAGCCTGATGTAGCGCCTCAAGGCCCTCAAAACTGAGGGCTGAAATAAGCAAGGGGAAAACTGTAACCAGCTCTGCAAAGCGGAACTTTAAAAGTTAGACTTTCGTCTTTTAGAGATAAGCAACTTCTCCAAATTCCCTCCTGTGAGCACATAATCAACACCCCTTCATGTACCCTGGCATCATAACTTGAAGTTAAACAAAAACTTAAATATCACATGGCTTCTCTTATATGAGAAACGCGAATTATAAATAAAAAGCAAAACAAAAGATAGATGTAGGGAGGAGTACGGAGGTAGATCTTTCTCAAATGGGAAGGTCAAGACATTGGGGGGGATAAAAACGGAATTAAGATACATTATATACATGCACCAACTCTACACAAGGAATGAAAACTGTGTACTGCAAATGTGTACTAATAAAAATAAAAATAAAAACTCTTTTCTCTAAAGCCCAAAAGAAGTGACAGATTTTGCAGATGCTGGCCACAGAAAAGGGGACAATGAGCTAAAGGTGGTTGGCAGCAATAAAGCGGGTGTGCGGATACTGTCTCTGCATCCCCTTCCCCTCCATTCCTTACTATAAACCACCCTTGCCCAAGGGAACAACTGGAGATTTGGTTTGAGGCAAAGGGGCCCCTCCATTTCCTTGGAGCTAGCATTGAGTAAACGCTTACTTTTTTACCAGAATAGATGCCTCCTTTGACTTGGTCAGTGGCAAATGAACCTAAGCATATGAACCTAACTAGCCAGCAACATGATTGTCAATCCAAATTACCAGGGAGGCCAAGGCAGAAGGCTGCTTCAGCTAGTCAAGGTCGAGGCCAGTGTGGATAACACAACAAAACTCTGGCTCTCCAAAAAAAAAGAGAATACTTAATACATTTGTACATATACGGTTATGCACAAGAAAGGTACAGAAAGATGCAAATAAATTCTTTGGATTAAAATAGTTTTACCAATCATTAATCAAAAATAAAACTGGGCCGGGCGGGGCAGCACACACCCCAGCACTCTTGAGGCTGAGGCAGAAGAATCACTTTGAGTCAAAGCCAGCCTGGGCTACAAAGTGACTTCAAGGCCAGCCTGAACTGCATAGCAACATCCTGTCTCAAAAAGACAGAAGAAAAAAACAAAAACAAAAGTAAAAAAATGTCAACCTGTAGATGAAGGATATTCAGATTAAGAAATCCTTACTAAGAGAAGCTGGAAGTGATTTCTGATTGTAAATATGAAAAACTAACAGCAACCCTATTCTTCTAGACCAGCAGGCCAAAAACTTTGTGGTCATTTTTGCCTCCTTTTCCTTTCATTCCCCAAGTCCAGTTCATCATTAATCTTACTAGTTTTACCATTACAACACATTCAAAATCTGACTCTTCTCACTACTACCCATCGCCAGGGTTCTGGTCCAAGCCACTACCCCTTGCCGGAACTACCAAAGCTTCATGACTCGGCTCCCCAATTCTACTCCCTCCTTTGACTCATTTCTCAACAGTGTCACCATTGAACTAGTAAGATGAATCATGTCAGAACAAAACGAGAAGTCTGTCCTGAAACATGCAGTGCTGCACATGAGCAGCATTAAGCCGCCCCAAGGCACACTTCTACCCCAGTGATTTCTACCTCAGAGAACAAAAGTCAAAGTGCTTCCTAAATTTCCCAATCATTTTACTGCTCTCCAACCTCCCGTTGTAGGCCCACACTGTCATCTCCCTGACTGCTCCTCAGGACAGCAGATGTACTCCCACGCTCCTTTTAATATGCACTCTCTCTGCTGCTCCTCTGGCAGGTATCCACAGGGCTAGCTCCTTTACCTTACCCCCAGCCTTTCCTCTGTCCATCTTCTTAAAGCTATCTTTGGTCTTTGAACCTAAAATTTCAACCCTTCCTTCTCACGTGGTTTCTCTACACACACATCTCACAGTTCTTCTCCCTGCAAGTCTTCCTCAAAGCACTGCTATCTACCACTATGTATTTATTTATTTACTGTTTATTTTTCTGTTTCCTAGAAATGTAATCTCCTGGAGAACACAAATAAACCTCACTACCTACAACAATATCCTACACAGAATAAAGGTTTAATATTTGATTTGTTTTGGGTTTTTTGGTGTTGTTTGTTTGTTTTTGAGATAAGGCCTCACTATGCAATCCAGGCTAGCCTTGTCACCATGTATCCCAGGCTGGCCTTAAACTTGCAGCAATCCTTCTGCCTCAGTCTCCTGAATACTGGGATTATAGTCATGTGCCATCACACCCAGCTTTAATATTTAATTAAGTGAATGAATGTAAATTTAGAATGAACAAAACAGAGACAGAGACTACAAAACAGACCAACTAAGAATAGCCAACCTCAGGTAAAGCTTTACAGATCAAGCTTCAAGGGAAGCCTTACACACCAAATGTCACTGGCTGTTTTAACACCTGGCAAAACAAGATTTGCAACAACTACTTGAGATTAATGTTTTCTACAATCATGAGTGTTCCTTCCAAACTCACTATCTGAATTAAGCAAGAAGAAATTCTGTGAAAATAAAACCACAAATGAACGATGCTGAACAAAACTTAAGGTTATAGAGGACATAGCTAACACTAAAATTTTGAGGTAATGCTACGGAAATAAGAAAAATGAAGGGATCTGTCTAAACCAGCCTCTGTCACTAATTAATTGTATCTCTCTGAACCTGTTTCTTAGTTAAAATAAAGATTACTCATATTACATCCTATTATTATCAACTAGTTGTGTTGAGGATGAAGTTAAGGATGTAGTTCAGTGGTTGAGAGCTTGCCTTCCATGCATAGACTCTGGGTTAAAGTCCCAGCACTGTTAATAAATAAATAAATAAGGCATAACAGGCTATAAGTTATTCAAATCTAACAAGTTACTGAATTCTTGAGGTTGGCTTACTGTGCACAATGAAGATTTATTAGCACAACATCCTTCTTGAGTTTTAAAATTTTTTACAGAATTATCAATCAACTGTATGCATGCACCAAATTTCTCTCCTAGCCCCCAAATTAGCAGAAAAAAAAAAACTTTACTAGTATATTTGCCTCCGAGAAGAAAATGGAAATGAACTTTTTTTCTGTTACAATAAGGTTATATTGACAAGGTTATTACAAGACATTAAGCACAGCCAGGTGTGGTGGTACACACCTGTAATCCAAGTATTCGGGAGGTTGAGGCAAGAGGATAGCTGTGAATTCAAAACCAGCCTGGGCTGCACAGTGAGTTCAAGACCAGCTTGGACTATATAACAAGACCGTGCCTCAAAAAAAAAAAGATAGAAAGAAAAGAAAAAACACACTTAATGCCTCAAACTAATCTTCAGTAGTGACAAACCAGTGAAGTTGAGAATGACAAGCAACAGAGCAAGTAGCAACTTGTTAGTGTAACAGAAATGCTCTATTTCTTTTTTTGTTTTGTTTTTGGAGTTTTTCTCTTGTTGTCGTTGTTGTTTGTTGAGACTGGATATCACTATGTAGTGCAGGCTGGTCTGGACCCACTATGTAGCCCAGGCCAGCCTCAAACTCACAGCGATCCTCCTGCCTCAGCCTTCAGAGCGCGAACGTGAGACCACACCTGGCTTCTATTTTTTAACTGGGGTTTTGATTACACGGTGATTGCATTTGTCAAAACTTATCCAACTGTACCAGTTTAATGAACACAATCAACTCACACCTCAAGTTTTAAATAACTGAAACAAGTCTGCCCGATTTCTTTAAAAAAAATAAACATCAGTTGCACAATGGTCTCCAAGAGAACTTATGCAACGCGATCAAACAAAACAGGTTGACAAATTTTTTTAAAAGGTGAGGGAACCTAAATCAGTGACAAAAAAAAGAAAAAAAAAGGGGGGTCAACTAAGGCTCTTTCTGGTCCTAAGGTCAACTCATGATAGAAGAGAAAAAACCAGCAGCAGCATCACCCATTAAAGAAAAAATAGAAAAAAGATTTTCAAAAGATATTATTTCTTCTCCCCAAAAGGTATTACTTCAGAAAGCATACTGGAAAGAACACTGAGAATGAGCACTTCAAACCTGTGTTCTAACGGATCCAGGCCATTAACTGTATGACCTTGAGCGTCCTCAGCCACCCTGGCCTCAGTTTCCCTTTCTGTAAAATGGAGACAATCATGGCTTAAAGTTTAACCTAGCACAGAAGTGCCTAACACATCAGTAATACATTGCAGAAGAGACGGAAATTTTGTGCTGGCTGGAAATGCAAGCAGACCAAAGGCCCCCTCCTCAGTTTCTTAGGGTGGTGGTCGTTTGTTAGTCCTGCCGCCCTCAGCCAGGGCTCTGTAGCACTCTGCGCAGCTCTTTCACCCCTCATCCCTGCAGGTCCCGGGGGTCTCCCACCTCGAGTGTCCCACCTCGTTAAGAAAGGGGGTGACATCGTAGACTCGCCCGTGGATCACCAGCCATAGTTCCTTCAAAGAGTTGTGCTTCGCCACCTCCTCCAACCGATAGTAGGTGACGGTGGTCTCGCCGCCCTGTCCTTTCTCGCCGCTGCTGCCACCCTCCACGGTCGCCATTGGACCCAAGATACTTCCTCACCGACGTTACCTGGGTTTCTACCGCTAAATTTCCCACAGACAGAGCACGCTCTCCGCCCTCCTCGGCTTCCGTAACCGGGTTAACCTGGTTCGAGATCCAACTAGCCAATCAGAGTCGTCCAGTCCCTCCAACCTTGCCAATCAGATACTGAGATTTTGGAACGGCGCCTAAAGGGACCGAGTTGGAGGGCGTTGACTCAGAAGAGGTTCCGTTTCACCGTTTTTGTCCGCGTGCTTGCGTAGTCTTCCGAGAAGGCACCAAGTCTTTAGAATTTCCCTGAGTCCCGCTTACTTTACCTCCACGCGAAACTCTTTTTTTTCTCCACACAGCCGGTATCCAGGTCCAGCTTTAAATCTTTGCTATCTCCAGCCCTTGATGTGGGGAATTCACTTCTAAGGTCCTGTTTTCTCATCAGTAAAATGTGATAACTAAACTCTGTCTTACAGAGGGAACTGGCAAATTAAAGACTTTTAACATAGTGATCACTACAGCAAGAATAGCGGATATTAGGAATGCAGGACGACTGGTCCGAGGCCTTAGGGCAGATATTTAGAAAGAAAGGAAATAACCCTGTTTCTACCATTACTGAGAATCTGATTTTTAATCAAATTCTTCAGTGATCAGAATCCATCTACACTTTTTTGAGACAAGGTCGCACACTGTAATATAGGCTGGCCTTGAACTCACTGTGTAGCCTAGGCTGGCCTCAGTTTACAGAGATCTTCCTGCTTCAGCCTCCCGGTGCTGGGATTATTGAAGGACAGCACCAAGCTTGGCTAGTCTTCTAGTTTTTCCGCGATCTAAAATAGAACTCACCTTAATTGTCCCCCGCTAGAGGTTTTTGGTATTTTGAAATTCCAAGTGTGGAGAATGTGCAAGTGTTTGCTGAGCTATTTATTTTTAACTGTCATTAAAACTGACAGATGATTATCCTAAAACGTCACTTCCCTTGTCTCACTCTCAGAGACTACCATTTGGGACTCCACAATCATTCGCAGTCTTTTCCATCATTCCCTTTATAAGCCTTGTGTACCACGCTCTGACTCCTAAGCCTGCTGGAGTCACATTGTGATCATTCCCAGGTCCACACAGTTAACATCTCCTCCTCCCACTGACTATTCAGCTTCTCAAATTCCTCCTCTATTTCTTCCTTTTTCATTAAATTGCCCACCGTTCTGAGCTCCATTGGTTCGAACCTTTCTAATAAACTATTTTAGGAAACCCACTATATCTGTACTTTTTAACTTTGAGTATCTTACCTTCCTAATTAGACTAAAACCATAAAAGCAATCTCATTTGATTCTTAAAATCTTCTGCAAGTATTTATATTCATTTCAGCGATACTTACTGAAAATTTACTGTCATAAATCCTGTCATACATCCAGGCATGGTGATGCACATCTGTAATCCCAGCACTCGGGAGGCTGAGGCAGGAAGATCCACACGAATTCCAACTAACCTGAACTACCCAGTGAGTTCAAGACCAGTGAGTTCAGGACATAGTAAGACCCTATATCAAAAAAAAAAAAAAAAAGATAAAATGGGACAATCTCAGCAAAGAAAGAGGCTAGAAAAATATATTTGGAGTGCAGCAAAGGGAAAAGCAGGCATGCAGTTGGGGTAGGGAGAGATTTTCAAAACTAGCCAAGTGTTTGGGGTTTCTTCCAATAGCAGGGTCTCTACCGGCTCCTTGAGAGGGTTCAGCAGGTGACAGGACTTCAGAGACCAAGAGTTATAATACATACAGGAAGGCTGAACTCTGGACACCAGAATGTGGAGGTCGTCAGCTGTGCAGCAGATCTCTTGTAGAGTGATCAGTGTGAACTGAAGCAAATGACCCTTCCTGAATGTCACACTATGTAAAACCTTTGAGTAGGAAAGGAGCATCAGTGAATGATGAGACTGAATTTGTAAGTATCATTAGTATCATCCTAAAGGCATTGGAGTTATTGTTTAAGCTTCTATAAAACACTTTAAACAGGTAAATTGAAAGAATAATATAGTAAACTCTCAAATACTTTTTACTTGGATTTATCAAATTCTAATGTTTCAATATTTTATTCCACATATATGTATATGTATATATTTTATTGTTCATTTTTGATACAGGGTCCTGCTACATAGTTCAGGCAGTCCTTAAACTCACTATGTTGCCCAGGCTGACCTTGAACTCACAGTGATCCTATAGCCTTAGCCTGTTGAGTGCTGGGATTACAGGTTTATACCACCACACCTGGCTTCTCCCATATATTTTTATTGTTGTGTATAGTGTTGAGTCATTTGAGACATCATGATACTTTACCTCAAAATAGTTCTGCATGTGTCTTCTAGGAATAAGAATGTATTGTTACATAATCCCAGAATAATCGTCAAATTCAGGTACTTTAACATTCATACAGAGCTATTACCTAGAGCACATATAGAACCAGCTATCCAGAAGGCTGAGGCAAAAGGATCACTTGAGCCTAGTAATATGAGCCTACCTTGGGCAATACAAAAAGACACAGTATCCCAAAAATAAAAACAAAACATCAAAAACCATGTTATTTAAACTCTCTTATTATTTTATAATTATTACATTAATGTCCTTGTGGAGTTTGATAGCTAATATGTATAACTGATGATCCAATCTGAGGTCATATAATGCATTTATTTATGTCTCTTTAGTCTCTTTTAACTAGAACCTTTTTTGGTCTTTTTCCTTCATAACATTGACATTTGTAAAGAGTATAGCCTTATACCATAATGTACCACAAGTGAAATAAGTCAGACACACAAACTTAAATACCACTTGGCTTCTCTTGTATGAGAAACCCGAAATATAAATAAAGAGCGAAAGAAAGGGAGGTGGATTTTTGCACGTGGGAAGGGCAGGCACTAAGAGATAGAGGGCAGGGGAAGGAGGAACCAGGAAGGGATAATAAGTGTGTTATGGGCAAGGGCCAACTCCACAGGAAGGGGATGGCTCTCTACTACAAATGTACTAATAAATAAAAGTTGAAAAAAGAATGTAGCCTCAAATTGAATTTAACATGGAAAAATTGTGGCCTAACTATATTGATTACAAATGCATTTTCATAATTTATTACACATGTTAGACACAGCTTGCAGTCTGGAATTCTTTCCCCATCAGACATAAACTTGGTGACCTTAGGCAGGTTTCTCAGTATCTTTTTTTGCAGTTGGATACCCACATGTTCCAGCACCAGTTCTTCATTGAATCATTTTATGTCTTTGTTGAAAATTGACTGGCTGTGTAAGCATGGGCCTCTTTCTGAACTGACTGTGCTGTTTCAGTGGCATATTTGTCGCACTAGAGGTAATTTCCACATGTTTTCGTGACTGTAGCTCTGCATGAAGTCAGGCAGTATAAATCCTCCAGCTTTACTCTTCTGTTTCATAGTTTTTGCTGCTGTGCATCCCTTGCACTTCCAAATCTTAGAATAAGCTTGTTGAGCCAAGTGAGTGGGTTCAACCATTAGTGATAACTGATGATAGCATGTGCCCCTGGTGAGATGATGTAAAGGGGACTTTGCTACCACAGCATCCTTTCCCAAACCCTATCACTACAGTCTAGTTATGAGAAAAACCTTACATACACCCAAACTGAGGGACAGTCTATGCAAGATGCTTGGCTAGTGCTCCTAAAAACTGTTATGCTCATTAGAAAAAGCAAAAAGGAAAGTGAGTGTTGTCAGAGATTGCAAGGAAAACAATTTAATAAAGGACACATAATTTATAACATTATTTTATAATAGTCACCCAAAGAGTCAAACATGAAATAATGCACAAAATTTGTCCACGTACTAAAGACTCAAAAAAATCCAGCGAAGCGCCCAGATCCCATAGCATCATCCTGCATGAGTCCAGCTGAAAACCTAGAGCCTATGACAGTGTCTCATTCAAGTCTGTTTGATGGCTCTGCACTGGGAAAGTCCAAAGGTCAGCGGTGAAAGTCAGAAAGTCTGTGTCAGTGGGGAGAATAATCTGTGCCAGTAGGTTGAAGGTTCTGCACTGGAGCCAGGAAGCAAAGCCCAAAGTAACAACCAGAACTCCCCTGAAAGTACCACAGCCATCCTCAGGGACAAGGTCCCAAGCTCCTCCAACGATGAAAACCAAGTTCTTATCAGGAAGTCAGCATGACAAACTTCTCCTGGAATTTTTTCTGTCTTTCTCTCTCTTTTTCTTTTTCTTGTTTGCTTGTTTGGTACCAAAGATCAAACTTATGACCTTGCACTTGCCAGGCAGGTGCTTGTGCCACTGAGCTAAATCCCAGCCCCCTTCTCCTGGAATTTGAACAGCACATATCTTCCCCTCCAGAGCCAGGAAGTGATGTTCAAGTAAGGACCAGAGCTCCCCCAAAGTGAGTTGCAGCCATTTTCAACAACAAGGTCCCAAGCTGCCCTGATGATAAAAACAGCCATGTTCATATCACGAAAGAAGCTCAACAAGCTCCTCCAGGAGAATCAACAACACCACTTCTTCCTCTCCAGTTCTCCTTTTTATGCTGTTGGCAACAATCCTCAGGTGGGTCCTCCACACTCCGCGCCACGCTGATTCATTTCAGCTGGTGTTCCAAGCTGACCACCACTTATCACTCCCACCACAGTGAGAAATCGTCATGGTAGACCCAACTGTGACAGCTAAATGCAATGTGATATCCTGCATTGCATCCTAGAACAGAAAAAGGACATTAGGGAAAAAACTAGTAAAATCCATAGAAAGTTATAATAGTATACCAAAAAAAAAAAAAAAATAGTATACCAGTAGTGAGTTCTTAGTTTCTGACATGGTAATGTCCGATATTAACAGCAGAGTTGAAGATGTAGCTCATTCCATGAGGCCCTAGATTTGATCCCAAACACTGAAAAAAAATTACCTATGGAAAACTGAGGGAGGGGTATGCAGCAACTTGCTCTACAATTTTTGCAACTTTTCTGTAAGATGTACCTAAAATGATTCCAAAATTTTAAAAATCCATTTATTGACTTCTGTAAAGGGGCTATTGATTAATTTACGGAGCATACACAGCTTTTAAAAAATTTTTAATTCACACAAAGTAGTCGTACATAT